GTAAGTAGGATCAGCTTTCCATCTACGTACAGCTCTCTCTATAAAGCAAGTTAATTAGCTTAATTGGTTTTCCACCGTAGTAATTGATATCAAAACTTTGTATCAATGTGAAAGCCGTGTACAAAGCGCTGCGATGCCTCGGATTCATTTTTACGCCGGGCATGAGTGCGATTAAAGATAACGACCCGTTTCACACTGTTTGTATAAGCCAACAACTCTTCACCTTTTGTAAAAAGCGCTACGGGGAAAAAAGTAATAATGGGAAAAGAGGGCTTGTGTGTACGGAGCTTATTGATTACTTTAAAAGCTATTTAATGGAAAAGCTCTTGAAGCCCTTGTAATGGTGGTAAAGTGCGACTGTGACCTTCCTTTCCCCATCGACGACAAAACAAATAGAGCCCACCCACTCTCACAAACTCATCCGATGTACACGAGCCAACAATAGATACACCTTCAGTATGGCAATCAGAGAAAGAGGGAAAACCTCCCGAGGAATAAATACGCTGATTTCCCCCTATCTAACAAAGCCTTTCTTATTTGAATTCAATGGCGATACCACTGTTCGAAAAAAAAAGGATTTGATTGAACTTGTGAAAAAAATTCTAAACCAGAACTAAAATTGTCTTATAATAAGATGACTGGTATCTTCAAAAACGTCTTTAAAACAAAATTTCACTTGTTTCAAAACCTATTAACAGTTCCATCGGATTACGAAGTTTGATTTTGCACCCGCTTCTTTCAAATTGAAAAACTTTGTTCGGATAACGTTTATATAATTTTATTTGACACAAACTTAAAAAATACTATCTACAATTGTTTTTGTGTCGCAGGTTTAAATTTTTTAATTAAATATATAAAATTAACTTTCGTTCACACATTTTTACTAAAACAAAATTAAATGGGGGAATTTTTTATTTTTATTATTTATTTATTCTTTTGGCTGAAAAGAGCTGTCCCAAGAGCTCACATCGTTAAAAAATGTATAATAAAATGTTAAATATTTTATTATTATTAAACTTAATTACCATTTAAAGTTACGATTATGTACATTTGTATATATTTAGTTTAAGGCTGAAAAATTTATGCAAAATGGCCGACATGATAAAGAAATGTGCAAACATAAAAGTGTAAAAAATGTATAGATTAATAAAGTAGCAATGGGTTGAACGTAGTGTCACTTATGATTTTTAAACGTTAATTAATGAGTGGTGTTTAGTGACAGTTAGTTAATGATTATTTTGAGATCGGGAGATGCGGTCTGGTGTGCTGTGGGTTTCAGAAAAACATTTTCTTTGTCGTGCCAACGTTTCGATCTTTATTGAGATCATCTTCAGGGCTTAAAATGTTTGCTTTGTTTTTAGATGTGTCATTATTGTGTCAGTTATTTAAATCTAAAATAATGACAAATCTACACAGAAAACCAACTGTTTGAGCCCTGAAGATGATCTCAACAAAGATGGAAACGATTTTCGAAGGTTTTAGAAAAACATTTTCTCTGTCGTGCCAACGTTTCAATCCTAATTGAGTTCATCTTCAGGGCTCAAAAGGATTGCTTTCTTTTTAGATTGTCATTATTTTGTCTGTTATTTAAACACAAAATAATGACACACCTCCACAGAAAACAAAACAGTTTGAGCCCTGAAGTTGATCTCAATAAAGATGGAAACGATTTTGGAAGGTTTTGGAAAAACATTTATTTATCGTGCCATCGTTTCGATCCTAGTTGAGTTCATCTTCAGGGGTCAGAGCGTTTGCTTTCTTTTTAGATGTTTCATTGTTGTGTCATTTATTTAAACATAATGACATATCTAACAGAAAACAAACACTTTGAGCCTAGAAGATGATTTCAATAAATGCAAACAGCATTCTGAAGGACACCGTTAACTATGAGCAGAAACTTGCACGGGCTGTCAATCAAAGAACTTCTTTGTTGAAATGCAAATAACACAAGGTCCTGAAGATGATTTCAGTAAAGATCGAAAAGTTGGCACGATAAAGAAAATGTTTTTCTAAAGCCTACGTCACACCAGACCGCATCTCACGATCTCCATATAATCATTAATTAATGATATATATTGACATGTTATCGTTATGGTCGTTGATATTTTGACGAAATAAACTGAGGTTTTTGTCTCATTCTCACGAGACCAATTCATTCATTTTCACTGTCTCACTCGGTCTCGCTCAGTGTNCTCATGCTTTACCTCTCTCACTACCTCGCCCTACCCTTCTCTCTCTCGTTCCCTCTTTCTATCTCCCTCTTTTCCTCTCCATCACTTAACTCTCTCGCTCCTTCAAAATTTGTAAACTGTGTTCATTCATTTATTCATTACTGCTCTCTCCGTATAGCCAAATAGCATGAAAACTTATTCACATCGTAAATAGACAAGCTTTTATTCTAAGTTGTTTAAACTGATTAGAAGTATTTAATCTGCTGAAAAACTTTTTTTTCCGTAAACTAACCGTTACAGAAACATTTCTATTGCTGATGCCAATATTCTGTTAGAAAGCTGGTTTACAATTAAAACGGACGAATTTTTCAACGTCCGAAACGCCGACGTCAAATCTGAACCGCAAACCCCCGTTTGCCAAAACTAGACCCTATCGGGACTTTCAAATCAATTCGTCGATAAGACAATAATGCCTTCTGGCAATTAACGAGGCGATCCAATCGGGATCTCACGGCTTAATGTAATCTGGAATCGTATTCGTATAAGCCTAACGGAGGACACTGTCTCCCACAAAGAGAACTATAATATGCACAGCTCATTGTTGACTCGGTGCGGCTCAAACCGCGTTTCCTCATTGCAAGCTTGAGATCTTTTGGTAAGTTGATGCTTCTACGCAGAAGAAGCTGAACTGTTTAAGTTTTACAAGTAATATACGTGTAAGCTGTATGGAGACGTGAATAATTTTAAAGTGGTTTACAAATTTTCAATGTATGTTATTGTTGTTTAAAATATTTTTTTTATTACACAATACTTTAGTAGAATTGATACAAACAAAAAATAGAATTACTGATACAAAGTATAATAAGCATGGCTAATAGCCGTCTGCTGAGTTTACTGCATAATAAAGCTTACAAATACATCAAAATTAAAACAAAAAAATTCGAAGAAATTAGCATATAGCAGGTCTATGAATTACAATAGATGGAGATATGAGAAAAAAGAAGAAAACAAAAAGAATTAAATAAGAACAAATTGCTTCTTGAGAACTGATAGAGTACTAAAAAACAAAGCAGTAAAAGTAAAAGTATACAGGGACGACAATGATTGCATAACTGAAAGCCACTCGTATCTCACTCACCAGGCGCGCCGACCAAAGGAAATTAACGGTTAAGGAGATACTTGGTTAGAAGATATTCCAGTATTTCAACTCTGGAGATGACTGTCTTTCCCAAGTAAGATACCCGCAATTCTGAGAGAAGAGAGCAGACTCCCAAAAAGTTATATGAATCTTCCCTGGCGTGGCTGTTCGAAAGTGGACAAGTTTCATCGTGACGATCATTGAAAACCCAGGGTTTGAATTTCAAATATAACAATTCTCCTCTTAGTTTGAATAGCCAACAAGAATCTATAATATTAAGGTCTTGGGAAAGGCTCGGTTTAAATGACAGTAGGTGTTCATTGAAAAGTTCCGTATACAAGTAAAACCTCTCTGTGCTTTTCGCCTTATTCACGGCTTCTTCTCGATGAACTTCGATTATTTTGTAAGGAAGCACTAAAAGGTCCGAGAGATTTTCTCGAACACCGGAGTTTTGCCAGGGGGCATTTCAGGGCTATAGAAGACCTTTGATTATACCAGGAGATATTCTTTCTAGTTATCTGTAGAGCGATTATTTTAGGCAGTCGATCATCTGGGAGGCTCAGTATCTTTGACATATATTTTAAGTAGAGGGAAAAGGTATGTGAGAATAGAGGAGGCAAATAGGATTCTAGCGTTAGCATGTAATTTGGGGAGAAAGATGGTAAGCTGAAAAGTTTAAAATATACTTGTACAATAAAATTTTAAAACAACAATGAGAGGTCATCTGGTCTCTCGAATCGCCATGCATTCTAGACGTATGATACGTTGGGTATCACCAATACAATCCCACGATGGTAATTGTGTTCTTTTGTCCGACGCTGTGGGACTTGATGTCCCACCGTGATCTCAGGCAACTTGTGCTTCATGGGTTGGCTATCGGTATGTGTTAGTTTTGTGGCCAAACTACGTCCTGGAACAAAATTTCTTTTCTGATTTTCGACCTTTTTTGAATCATAACGATAGTGTACCTATTCAAACTGCTGGAATTGTCTGAGACTTCATTATTTGTACGATGAAGGACTACTACATTTCGCGTGGCCTCATTACCCCAATGCCTCTGTTGGGTATTTTAAAGGGCAAACTGATCAGTAGGTTTTCAGTTCCAATGAAACTTTGTAAATTACTAGCCTATTGCTGTAGGTGTGGCGATTTGCTGTGACTCCTGACCATGACCTCTATAAAATCGTCAATTTGTCGACTTGTGTCACGTCACCTCGCCGGATACAAGATGGAACAAATGCAAACAAATGCTCAGTCGATATGCTGTTGACATAGTATTTACCTATGAGTTTCTGAGTTCGAATTCGGGCAAACTCATGGATTTTTAATAGAAAATAATTTAAAAAAAATGTTTTGCAACGTTTATAACCCCTCGTCAGCAACACCCAACTTCATCTGCACGAAAGAATAATTTTACTTTTTACCTGAGATTACCTGGAACTTATAATGTACATTACTTAAGAATAGAGAAGAATAAAGCTTAAGATGAATTACAGAAAACTATCGATACCTAAAGAACGGAGGAAAAAGGAAGACATCAATGACAAGCTCACAGATTGTAGGAACGTCTAATCAACGGATTTCCAACTTTGATATGAAACTTTTCAGAAGCGACAGATTGAGGAAAATTTATATTGACCACTTACTAGCTATTTTTTTTCTCGATAACAGAAATATTACCTGGGCAGATG